CATGTTAAAAGTAAACAATTACAGCCAAATCAAACTCATTGTCCTGTAAAATATTTTGGAAATATAAAACGCTAAACCCTAAACACACAACTATGCCCAAGCACTACTTCCAGCAAACGAAGATTTCTCGAGGACGAATGGAGGCATGCCATATTACGGCCGAGGTTTAAACTACAATTGAACACACAATTTAGGATTAAAAAATATGAATAAAATAAAAAACTTAGGACAAACAAAAGAAAACTTACTTCTTCGCGCTGCATCGGGGTGATGGGCTCGCTTCCGACTTCCTCTTCGCCATGTTTTTCAATTTGGTGGACAGTGAGCATAATTTTATATGATCGGCTGCGAGTGAGAATTATGAAAGTTAGGTAGAATTTTGTTTGCGAGCGAGAGTTGTAAGTGTTGGTGTTTCTTCACCCCACTATCAAGTCGTGTTTGTAACTGTTCGTTAATTATTATTATTTTTTTCTAAAGAAAAGAAATGCAAAGGTATATAACAAGCATACGTAAGTATACATTTAAAACATAGTGAGGAAAGCAAGAAGAGTTATAGGTATATATAATAGTTATGCAGGTATATATATATGACATCGAAGTATTTCTTACCTTTTAATATTTAAATATTAAAATAATAAAAAAAATCAATAGGAAGTTTATTCAAATCAAATCAAATAAAAGAGGGAGTGCATATCAATTTATTATAAAAAAAAAATGGACTGAAATTCAACATATTATGTGTCAGAGGAATTTAACACCAATTTTTCCTAAATTTAATTACATTGATATAATTATATCAAGTTAATATACAACGATAATATAATATGTACATACATAAAATAACATAAACTATCATTATAATATATTCCATATTCATTATATTTTACAAAAGAAATAATTATTTTGGAGCGGAATTAATGATTAAAGTGAAGATTATAGTTAATTAGCATAATGATGATTAACGAGTACTGTTTTAATTGAGAGCGCGTAGTTACAACATATGTCCTATGCTGACAACATATGTTTTATATTCTAATTAGGTTAATCAGTGTTGATTAACCTAAATATATGTTGTAAGGACATACTTTCAACTAAAACAACACATGTTGTATATGTTAAAAATATTTGATTGTAATTATATTTTATAGTTGTGCTATATATATCATATTTCATATGTTGAAATCATTAGTAGTATGTTTTGTACGAGTCATTATCATATAATTATAGTTTATTGTCTATATTATATTATATTATTATAAAGATTGGCTTATGATATATATATATATATGTCAGTTTAGTAGTATATTTCAACATAATGATGAATATAAATACTTAGAACTAAAATAACATTTTGGAGCTAATAAATAGAAGTAAGATTATTTATGCCTTCATCCACAATCTAAATGAAAAAATTTATAAATATGTATATTTTTTATTTTTCTATGTATGAATTGTGATCATAAAATTGCAATTTAAAATTCATCAAAATTTGACCGTCTTGGTCTTACATGCTATATAAAACTTATTTAGGGTGTGTTTGTTTGAGGGTTTGATTTTTGATTGGGATTTGAATAGTAAAAATTTTAAATTTGAATAGTTGTATGATGTGATATAAATAAGAATTGATGTGATGTTTTTGTGAATGGAAATTCCCCTAAATTATTTTGGCATATGAACTAATGGTGTCTTAATTTCTGCAGCAAAGACTTTCCAAAAGACAAGACATAGTTGAGGAAAGATCAAAATATGGAAACTCACTCCTTCCATTACGGTGCAAAGGAAAATTAGTGTGGAATCTTTTATTCTAGGAATGTGAGTGATTTACTCAACCGGATAGGGTTGAAGATTGGTAATGTGTGATTTGGAGATCATACTTTAGAGAGAAGAATATTGAGTGAAGCTATCATACATCTATCCATATCGATTCCCATTAGTTTTGAATGAGTTTTTGACAGAAAAATTCGCCGGAGAGGTCGAAGGTGTTCGGAATTAATGGAGTTCCAACCGGAGGGAATGATCAAGCTCTAGAATTCTCTGCTGTGTGGTCGTTGTTAGTACGAGGTTGTAGCAACGAGAACCTTAGGAGGTATTTTCTTGGGTTAGCCATGACTAGCATTAGAGTTAAATGATTTGTGGTTGTTTGTGTCCTTAATCAGCACTGGTTAGTGGAATTCCTCCTGGATTGGTATCCCCCGGATATAGATTGGTTGATAATCGAACCGGGTCAACAAACACCTTGTCTTATTGTTGTTTTATGTTATGCATTGTTTTTCGTTGTTGAAACGTAGTTATAACTGTGAACCGCCCACGCTTCGGGAGTTGGCCCTTTAAAGTGTTCGAATGTATTTTGTTCGATAAATCACTTCCCCAACAGTTTTGAATATAAAATTAATTTTTAGTATAATATAAAAAATAAAAAATAAATGTTTGATTTAATATTTTTGGAGGAAAAATTTTGTGGGAATAGTAGAAATCCCACAAAATCCCTCAAACAAACACACCCTTAAAGTACTCATAGTGGCCAAACACGTTAAAAGTCTTTAATAATAGGAGTATCATTTGTGTCTAAACAATTATCACATATGACTTTACTTTTTACTCTAAAAAAATATATTTTTCACACAGTTAGTATAACAATTTAATCCAATATTTTCACATGACTTCTCTCCTCTAGTGTAAATCCTAACTTAGCGTCGAAAAAGATCAGTTTCAAATATTTGTATCTCAACTGAGCCTTTTTAAAAAATCAAGCATTGAATGTATTGTTGAGATATTTTAGATACTCAATTTTAGATTTAGTAGATTTATATTTAGATTTGATCTTATTCATAGATTAGATTACTTAGATTTGACTCTATCGAGTCTATTTTGTACTGCCTATATATAGGCTCCTTATTTTAATGATCAATAAAAAAATCTCATTATTTTCCCCTAAAATTTCTAATATGGTATCAGAGCCTATTTTTCTCATGCCGTAGATATAGCCTACCAACCAGTGTTTCTCCGGGTACATTCAACCTGGATTGTACCTGGAGGTCTTGTGATTTTGAGATAATGCCTTTGCAAGTTGTCTTTTTGCAAATCTGTCTCGTCTCGTCTCCGATCTGTCATCTGTCCGTTGCTTGTTTGTTGCCTGTGTGCAATCTGAAATATTCGCTACTTGTCAGTTGCCTGCGAGCGATCTGAAACGATCTACCATATGTCTGTTGTCTTTCTGTTGTTGCGTGCAATTTGCCATTTGTCGTTGTCTGCTGTTGCCTGCATGCGATCTGCCATCTTTCGTTGCTTATTTGTTATCGAAAATCTGTCTATGATCTGCCATATGTCCGTTGTTTGTCTGTTGCCTGCGTGCGATCTGATCTGTATGATGTTTGAGATTTTTCTGTTGTCGACTCCGGTGGAGTCATGTTGTTTTCGGCTTCAGTGGAGTCATGTCGTTTTAGGCTCCGGTGGAGTCATCTCAGTTTTTCGGCTCCGGTGGAGTCATCTTATTTTCGGCTCCGATGGAGTCATCTCGTTTTCGGCTCCAGTGGAGTCATGTCATTTTCGGCTCCGGTGGAGTCATCTCGTTTTCGGCTCCGGTGGAGTCCTGTCGTTTTCGACTTCGGTGAAGTCATCTCGTTTTCGGCTCAAGTGGAGTCATGTCATTTTAGGCTCCGATTGAGTCATCTCGTTTTCGGCTCCGGTGGAGTCATCTCGTTTTTTGGCTCCGGTAGAGTCATCTCGTTTTTTGGCTCCGGTAGAGTCATCTCGTTTTTTGGCTCCGGTGGAGTCATCTTATTTTCAGCAACGGTGGAGTCATCTCGTTTTCGGCTCCGGTGGAGTCATCGCGTTTTTTGCTCATGTGGAGAGTCATCTCATTTTCAGCTCCGGTGGAGTCATGTCGTTTTCGGCCATGTCGTTTTCGACTCCGGTGTAGTCATGTCGTTTTCGGCGGCTCCGGTGGAGTCATCTCGTTTTTTGCTCCGTTGAAATCATGTCGTTTGAGGCTCCGGTGGAGTCATCTCATTTTCGACTCCGGTGGAGAGTCATCTCGTGTTCGGCTTCGGTGGAGTCATGTCGTTTTCAGTTCCGGTGGAGAATCATCTCATTTTTTGCTCCGGTGGGTGGAAAGTCAACTACTAATTTTATTTATGTTTTTATTTTGCGTTTATATTCAAATTTCTTATCAAACTCAAGTTGATTTCTGTTATACCACTTGAGTTTGAGGGAGATGTTGAAATATTTTAGATATTCAGTTTTAGATTTAGTAGATTTGTATTTAGATTTGATCTTATTCATAGATAGATTACTTAAATCTGAGTCTATCGAGTCTATTTTGTATTGTCTATATATAGACTCTTTATTTTGATGATCAATAAAACAATCTCATTATTTTCCCCCAAAATTTCTAACATGTATAATTTCAACTTTGTTCGAAGAGATCGGCAATGTCATAAGATCCATTCGCATCTAGGAGAGCGGAAGTCTAAGAGATAAAAGAAATTGAAAGAACGAAAAAACTCTATTGAAGTTGTCTCGACTCCGCGAAGATAGAGCGAGGTTAAATCAAAATTTTTCCGTTGATTTTACTCCCGTCACACTTGACTATTTTCGACAAAATGAAACAATAGCCTCGAAATGGCGTTGGAAGGCTTTTAAAAATAAACAACTGTGAGTGTTCTTAAATGTTTTAATTATCTCGGCCTTCTTAATATTGTTTGTTACATCGAATTTGTTTAATGTATTTTATCTTGTAATTTGCAGTCTATTGCATTCTCGATTGTAATTTAAAAAAAAAAAAAGAAAAACATATACATATACAAATATTTCCACGCAATAAATAATAAATATCAACAAAGATAATAAATACTGTATTATAGATTTAGATATGATATTGAAAATCAGATCACAAGGCTTCTCCATTGGTTTAAAACCAGAGCTCAATTTCCGATTAACAAAATCGTCCGCCACGTGGCGCTCTGTGATTCACCGGCACATAAAATCGTCGCAACTGCATATCACCGGATCTCTATCGCTTCCCCATTGCCATTGACTCTCTTCTTCTTCTTCTTCTTCATTAAAATCAACTTTTCCTTTCCTTTGCTTGCAGACATATTTTCATCGTCTGATCTTCCTACACGCTTTCCTTTTCTTTTTACAGTAGAAAAAAAAAAAAAAAAACCCAAGGTTTTTCGTTTTTTGTTCGGAGCTGCTGTTTAGATTTTCGCTTTCTGGAAGGAGAGTGTGGAGCCCAGAGCTGGTCCTCTGCTTTGCTGGCTTGAAGCTCTCCATTGTTGATTTCTAATGGAGTTTGGTTTGGTTCGGTTTGTCTGATGTGAAAGTCCAGACTTCAATTGCCTTGCCCTAATTGAAGAACGCCGTAATTTTTGTAGTAATTCAACCGTGCTCTCGCTGTCTCTCTTTCGACATCTTTGTTTTGTTTTCTTGCTGATAATTCTTTTGCCTTTTTTTTTTTTTTTCACTTTCTGTATTGGTTTGTGAGTTTAATTTTGATTTGTTGGTTTATAATTTAAAATTTTTTGGGGGTATTCAATCATTTCATCATAATCAACATCATCTTCTTGTTTTTGCCGTCAAAAGTAAATGGATACGAGGTATCAGAGGATAGAAACGCATATCGAAATTTCTTTGTAACTATTTTGCTAATTTCCTCGTTGATTTGACGGATCCATAGATCTGAGGCTCTTTCACTTTCAGATCTTCCGGTTTTTCACGATCAACTGTTCGAGGTAACTTCTGCACCGTATTTTGCACAATCACATTCTTTCTTCCTCTGTAATTTTCTGTTCCCGAAAGAAATTAGGCGTCGGGTCGGGGTTAGGGTTTGTGCAGGTCGGTTATGCGATTGCAGGAATTTGGGGATTTTTATCGATACTGTTCTTAGGTGCTTGAATCTTCTAGAATTCGAATTTGCTGACCAAAATGTTAGCTGAGGAGAAAACGAATTTGACGACCCTGAATTTTCAAAGTTTCCAATTTCCCCTTTTCCCTGGTTTTGATTTTGCTAATTTGCTTTGTCTTGTCCTGTGTTCGTTGTGCTCATGGGTATATATTCTTGTTCAAGCTTTGCCCTAATTTTCAACAATCTTATCGTAGTTCTCAGTAGAATTAAACTCAGAGGTTTCATTGCTGTTCATATTTGTCTTCCTTGTTTTAAATTCTCAAGCTCTAATATGTCTTCCTGCTGTGGGTTGTTGCCAGATTTTTCACTGCAACTTTGATATCGGCACAGCAAAGTTCGAAGATTATATGCATTTACACAATTGAGTTTTATTTAGGCCAATAGTTAAGTTGTGTACTTATTCGATGCGGATATTTTGGAGGGTACTTTGGATGAAATGAGGGATGTTATCGAAGTTAATGAACTTTTTAAGGGCCTGTTTTCGGCCAAGGGCAGATCGAAGTGTTCGGGGAGGTTCGGACGCCAATGGTAGGCAGGAAGGCCTACTCTGGTATAAGGATTCGGGTCAACATTTTAATGGAGAGTTTTCGATGGCTGTAGTTCAAGCAAACAATTTGCTGGAGGATCAGAGCCAACTTGAATCTGGTTGTCTGAGCTTGAATGATTCAGGACCATATGGTACTTTTGTGGGGATTTATGATGGACATGGTGGGCCTGAGACCTCTCGGTATATTAACGAACATCTCTTCCAATATCTAAAAAGTAAGTTGTGTTGCGACCACTTATCTTCGATTAGTTTTGCTACTCTACAAGAAAGAAGTGAGCTTAAACATAATTTGTGTCCTACGTGACTTGGATAAAGGCATGATTTGAATTACTATTGCTGTGTTTAGGTATGTTTTGTTAGTATTTTGGAGTTTTGAAGAGTTTTGGAAATAGTACAAAGCTGAATAAATTCGATGTGATGTTTTGTGTAGAGAATAATTTTGGATGTAATATTTTAAGTGAAAACTAGTTATTTGATGCAGTGTTCTTTTTAAAAAGAAAAATACTATTGATGAATAGTGTCAAAAGCGATTTGAAAACATATGTAAACAGAGCCTATTTGCATGTTTTCTCGTATCTCTTCTTGTTCTTCATACAAGTAGCATGTGATTGGCAACAATCGGCAATTTAGTGACATATTTTATTATTTGATCTATTGGCGAAGCATTTGGTCAATAATAAACTTTGATTGTGCAGGGTTCACTGCCGAACATCAATCTATGTCGGTGGAAGTCATTCGGAAAGCATTTCAAGCAACTGAAGACGGATTCTTCTCTATTGTGAGCAGACAATGGCCCATGAAACCACAGATTGCAGCAGTTGGCTCTTGTTGTCTTGTTGGAATAATATGTGGTGGAATTCTCTATGTTGCTAATCTTGGTGATTCCCGAGCTGTTTTGGGGAGAGCTGTCAAGGCTACTGGCGAAGTGCTCGCCATTCAACTCTCGGCTGAACATAACGCCAGCATTGCATCTGTGAGACAGGAACTGCAGTCTCTACATCCCGATGATTCTCATATTGTAGTGCTAAAGCATAATGTATGGCGCGTGAAGGGTCTTATACAGGTTCGTTAATATTATTTACAGCTATTGTTAAGTTTTTTTTCTTTCGGAATAAAACTAATGAGGTGGTCTCGTGTTACCCATTAAGCTTACATTGGTCCATTACATACGTTATTGATGCCTCCTCGAACCCAATAAAGTCTGTTAAATTATTTTTCCAGGACATGAATATTTGTTGTTAGACATCTAAATTTTACCATCGATATACAGTAAAAATAGTTTTAGGAACTATCATCGATTTGATAGTATTTTGTATCATATTGATGAGCATGTTGTACTTTGACGGGTAATTGCAATTTTAAATGACTATATATATTGATATTATGCCCTTTTTTTACCCTCCCTCCACTCAATATTTGTATTTAGTAGATCGAATGTTTGATAATCTAAAAAAGTTGAAGATGATGAAGGTATTTGTATTAGACTGCTAATGAAAGGATTGTGATAGATACTATTTTAGCTGTAAAGATCTGTTTGGCATTTTAGTGGATGGATTTTCGTTTCTAGTTGAATCTTCGAAGATGTAAAAGGTACGCTGAGGTGATTTGTGTCCGGAAAGATGTAAGTTTGAATTCCTGCTATTATGCAGCTGTTGATTTTGCAGATTCTAATCCTATTGGCCATTCAGTCCTAGTGTATGGAAAGATTCGATTTCGAATTTCTCCAAAGTTGAATTTGGTAATGATGATACTGTTTTACAGGTCTCAAGATCAATTGGAGATGTGTATTTGAAGAAGAATGAATTCAACAAGGAGCCATTGTATCAAAAATTCCGACTAAGGGAGCCTTTCAGCCGACCAATTTTGAGTTCGGAGCCATCAATTACAGTGCAGCAGTTGCTTCCTCACGATCAATTCATTATATTCGCATCCGACGGCCTTTGGGAGCACCTCACCAATCAAGAAGCTGTTGATCTAGTCCAGAACAATCCACGCAACGTAAGATATGTTTATGCTTAAACAAAAGTCGAATCTACAAAAATTTTATTTCCGATCATGAGTAGTATAGACTGTTTGATCCATTCAGACCCGATACTAAATTGGCCTAACATGGTTCTTGATTCAAAAAATGTTTAGCCTATGATGAAGAAATTCACAGGTATACGTAAAAATAGTTTTTCACCCATTTTATAAGCTTTCTCGATCTTTCTTTTTGTGAAGTTTTATTACATTGCCAGTTTCTTTCTATCGGTATATTTATTTTTTAATTAACCTGAAAAACCACGGCGCCATTATGTAGGGGAGTGCAAAGAGATTAGTGAAAGCAGCGCTGCAGGAAGCGGCGAAGAAGAGAGAAATGCGATACTCCGACTTGAAGAAAATCGACCGGGGAGTGCGTCGTCATTTTCACGACGACATAACGGTGATCGTGTTGTTCCTCGACTCACAGCTTGTGAGCAGGGCTAGTTCTGTCCAGAGTCCCAATGTATCGGTGAAAGGCGGCGGCATCAGCCTCCCGCCCCATTTTCTGGCGCCGACGCCGACTGAACCACCAGCGGCAGCAGCTTGACGAGGTTTTAGTTTCTTCGACATTACCTGTTGTACTATTGTGATGTGAATACAGGTAGCTTCTCCTCCCTCCTTCTGTGCTCTTCTTCTTCTTCTTCTTCTCCTCGCCGTTAAATTCTTTGAATGCAATGCGTACACTGTTGATTTTTTGTTTGTTTGTTTGTTTAAGCAATGCAGACTTACAGATTGATGAAAATTCATTATAGCTACTATGTTATGTTGTTTCTATGGGCAGATCAGATCAGATCAGATTCTTTGCTTCTTACATTCGGTTATTGTTATTATTGCTATATCTATTTGTATTTTGATTTGGGTTTGATTGGACTTTCTTCTTTTAGAGTTTCAGCAGTCATCGCTGAATGAATGCTTTGATTTATATGAATAGGAAAACCAATAATAGTTTACTATCTCCGTCCGTCCGTTTTAAGTATTCCATTTATTTTTCGCGAGAATATTAGTTATTATATCAAAACAAAATACAAATTAAAAAAAATTTGCAAAAATACTTCAGTTAGTGTTTGTCTGTTATAATATATGCTCTCTCCGTCATCCGACTGTAAGAGTTTTATTTATTTATTTGCACAAATATCATTGTAATAGTATTATAAAATACTAATAGAAATATTTTTGACTTTTTCTTTTTATTTGTATTATGTTTTTATCAATAAGTAAAAAATAAATAGGACTCTTACGCCGGACGGAGGTAATAGTATATATTGAGACCAATTGTAATATGTATTGTAGATTATTATTATTACATATTGTCATATATTGTATTATTCAATATTAACATAAATTGTGTGACGTTTATTTGTGTTGTACTAGCAATGTGAATTTGTAACATGTATTGATCCTGCCATGTGATTTAGTTCATATATTATAATAATTCCTCCGTCTCAATACAATAGTCTTATTTATCATTTTTGTTCGTCCCAAATAATAGTCTCATTTTCATAAATAATCATATCACTATAAAACTATCCTTACTTTTTTATTATTATTACACAATTGTCATTATTTTTTACACTAATACACTCACAAGAGCAAAAAAAAATTTTATCCGTGTTTTTTACTCACTACCAATATAATATCAATATTTCTTGAATATTGTGTCAAACACTATAGTTTTGGGACGAAGGGAGTATAAATTATGCATGCATTTGCATTGAGAGTCCGTGTGTTGTATTGCTCATGTATATTTGATTTACTTTGAATAGGTTGCAAGGGTAAATTATACTATAGGATATTTTTTATATTGCAAGTAAAAATATATTTTCTTCGTCAATTCAACATATGCAATTTTTGTCCCTTTAGGGATAGTCTGGTGGTGTAGGGGTTGAACTTGTGACTGTGAGACCATGGGGTTCGACGCCTCAGGTCACCTGCCGCATATAGTTCGCCTAGTGTGACTTGCCTTGTCGGGCCTAATTTGCAGGTATTAAGTTTGGATAACAGCTGCTGATTCTCATATGATAAAAAATATATATATATATAATTTTTATTTTGAATTATCTCATTATAAAGTAATTATTTCAAAAATATTTTATTATTGTTATTACAAATACTCCTATTTAACACTATATCATTACTTTTACTGGTACACACTAAAAGAAGTTTTATGGAATACTATTCTTAATTACTCGTTATAATTAAAATATGGAGTATTATTTTTTAAATTTTGTACCAATTAAATGTATAATTTCAAATTAGGCGGAGTAACATAAAATATCTCATGTTTTATTTATTATGTAAAATTTATGTTAAATTAAATTATGCACATAATACTATCTTCGTCCAAAATTATTGTAAATATGCACCTAATTATATAGTTTTTTTAAAAAATATTATAAATGAATGATTGAACAATTAATTATCTCATAAATTTCGTACCAAGTAAATGTATAAAAGGAGTATTATTTAGACAAGTTGTCAATTATACAAAAGTTGTATATATATTGTATTGTTAGTTATGATGATGGTTATTGAAGTTTGGGATGGTTTTAACTTGTATGGTCAAGTTGGGGAGGCTCAGTGGTGAAGAATGGTGTGGATAGGTCTGGAGTTGGAGTCCTGGATCTGAAAGGATGGATGGAGATCCAGCAACGCTAGACTAGACAACTTTTGGTTTGACCATTGTTTTCTTAGTTCCAGCTCATTTATCTAGTTTGTTGACAGAAGTTTTCAACTCTACCTTCGTCTATTTATAATGTTTATATATTTTTATTTTGGAATGTTCAATTACAAAGTTAATATTTTATTAAATACTTTACTTTTTTTTCTTCATAAATATCCTTATTTTACATCACATTATTACTTTTACACAAAAAAGTAAGGGCAAAAATATCATTATACTACTTTTAACTACTCACTATAATTAAAATACTATTATTTCTTAAACACCGCGCCAAAAATAAATATAAACATTATAAGTGGACGGAAGGAGTATTATGTAACTAGAAAATAATTAAAAAGTATATTAGTAAAAATAATTATATATTAAGATTAAAATAAATAAATAGTTTAATTAAAATAAATAAATTCTAAATTCTAAAAATATAATTAAAATGTATAATTATATTTTTTTCAAAGAAAATAATGAATTATATGGGACGGACCGAAGTAGAAAGAGTGAAAAAATTATATAGGACGAAGAAAATATTTTATTTTGTAGAAAATGTGGAAATTTATTGTCATTATATTTCGAATGTATTTTGAGTAAATTCTCGATCGAATTTAATAATATATAAATTAAGTTCGACAAAATAAACTTTTATTAAATAAATAGTAGATAAAATCTGAAATCATCGAGAATTTAAATTCATCTCGCAATTGCGAGTTGATCCCATATCATATATATCCTTTCCGGTATGGTTAATCTTTCTATTTTTTTTAATAACTTGAGAATCTATTACTGTTAGTTTACGGATGCGTTTCAGATAAACTCCCAGATAAATCTAATACTCCCTCTGTACCATAATAAATTATCTATTTTTTCATTTTAATTCGTTTCATAACAAAGTATTCATTTTATTTTTCAGTAATTTTACTATATACCTAACATTACAAATATTCTTACAACTTACAATATATTAATAAATAATATTACTTTTATATCGTACAATAGTAATAATGTTATTTTAGTCATTTCTATTTTATTTCTACTACATTTTACTCCATCCGTCCCACATAATTTGTCCCTATTTTCTATTTTCGTCCGTCCCACATAATTTGTCCTTTCTATTTTTGGAAATATAATTATGCACTTTAATCGCATTTTAAATTTTAAATTTTATAATTTTTTTAATTTTAATTAAACTATTTACTTATCTTAATATTAATTTATAATTACTAAATAATAATTATTTTTACTAATCCACTTTTTAATTACTTATTAATTATAGTTTACCTAAATTCTCGTATTTACAATAATACATACATATTACATGGGACGAATGGAGTAATATAAACTAATATTTCTAAAACTCCATGTAAAATGCAAATAAATATATAATTATGAGATACATAGAGTATTTTGTAAATTAGACGGATAAAATAAATCACTCTAGATGACCTAATATTTGTTCTTGTTTGATGGATGTATTGTGTGTATTCTCTTATGTGAAGTCTGTTTGCGGAAATATCAGTGTCAGGCATATCAGTGTCTTATGAGATTAAAGTGTGTAATTATTTTTTTTTAAAAAAAAAATAATATGGTATATGGAACGGTGGACATGATCTCTGGGACGGAGGGAATAATATAAAATATTTTTAAAGTTTTTAATAATAATAATAATGGCTTGGATAGGATAGGTTAGGTTAGGTCAGGTTGGAGTGGAGCATCAAAACAAAATGAGAGTGTGGTGTAGTGTAGTGTAGTAATTGGGGTGAGGGCCCAGTCAGTCAGTTGCTTGTGATGGTGTGTTTCTTTTCAGCCTTATCAATTTGGAAAAATTTTTTATCCACACTCTTTTTTTTTTTTACTATTAATTTAAATTTAATTTCTATTTCTTAATTTTTTATTAAATAGTTCCGTAGAAATATAATATACTTTTAAAATATATTTAAATACTTTTAATATTTTTTTATATATTTATAGCACATTCTCTCTATCTAAATTATTTCTGTGATACATTTTTATTTGGTTTTTGTATACTTTTATTTTTGTATTTTAAAATTAAAAGAAATTAAATAAAAACAATAATTAAAATTATCATTTTGTGGAATGAGACAGAAAATTACTATACGGTTTTTTAGACCCAAAGAATATCCTATAGCCTTTCTTTGTGTTTTTGGTCGCCGTCATTTTTAGAAACCACGAAATAAAAAAATATAGTAAAAAATAATATATATATATATATATTATTCTATCAAATATTTAAAATCATATATATAAGATACATTTTTTTTTAATATTAGTAATAAAATTTACTTATAGTATTCTATATATTTGTGATCTTTTTGTAAAAATAAAAATAATATTTTTTCAAAAAAATAATATATTATATACATTCATTATTTTTATATTTTTTTACAATATTCTATATTTCACATAAAAAAATATTATTTTAAATTATTTCATATAAAAATACTTACTATGTATAAATATTATTCTATAGAAAATAAAATTAAATAAATTTTAAATAATGATTTAGTTAAATGCATTTGTTTTTGCTTAATAGTTTTAATACCAAAAGATTTATATTAAATATACAGATAGATATTTACACAAATTTGTATAACAAAAAATTTTTTTCATATCTAATAATTTTTTATTTTTTATATTTTAAAACGTGAAAATAAAATAAAATAAATATAAATATAATTTCTTTTAGGAAAAAGAAATTATATTTATAAATCTTATTCTATAAAAAAATAAAATTAAATTAATTTTAAATAATGATTTAGTTAGATGCATTTGTTTTTGCCTAATAGTTTTCATACCAAAAAATTTATATTAAATATACAGATAGATATTTACACAAATTTGTATAAAAAAAAAACTTTTTCATACCTAATAATTTTTTATTTTTTATATTTTAAAACGTGAAAATAAAATAAAATAAATATAAATATAATTTCTTTTGGGAAAAAAGAAATTATATTTATAAATCTTATTCTATAGAAAATAAAATTAAATAAATTTTAAATAATGATTTAGTTAGATGCATTTGTTTTTGCCTAATAGTTTCATACCAAAAAATTTATACTAAATATACAGATAAATATTTACACAATTTTGTATAAAAAAAGCTTTTTCATATCTAATAATTTTTTATTTTTTATATTTTAAAACGTGAAAATAAAATAAAATAAATATAAATATAATTTCTTTTAGAAAAAGAAATTATATTTATAAATCTTATTCTATAGAAAATAAAATTAAATAAATTTTAAATAATGATTTAGTTAGATGCATTTGTTTTTGGCTAATAATTTTAAATAAATATATTTAATTTTTCTAAAAGAACTAATAAAAATAAATAAAGTTAAAAATTTTTTTATGAAGCGATTTTAATCACAATGACACACCTAAAAAGTACAGTCATAAAAAATAAAATTACTCAAATACACATACTAAACACGCATGTATATACCGGCTTAACACTCATGCATATACTTGTTAATCTATAAATAATACCTAAGAAACTATTATTTATACATCGCATATCGGTATTTGTACCCAGATCACATTCTTACATACCTACATAAAATATCTACATACCATAATGATGGTCTCATATACTTCCGTAAAAAGTATATATGCGCTGATAATCTGTGGTTGTAGAACACTACAAAAAAATGGTATATTTGTAACGGAATTTTGTCCCTGAAGTTCACGTAACTAACGTAATTTCATCCATAATTTCGTTTCTAATGTCATTAGTAACGGAAAAACTGGATTTAAGGACGAAAAAATCTCGTTACAGAAATGATATTTTCTTGTTGTGGAACGACCATTTTCGATTCGAAATATTCACTTGATGACGGTAACCAATGACTTGTTCATCATGGTAGTCTTCTTGTGACACCCAGAATTGTCAGAAAAGGTAAACAACACGTATTGATATGTATGGTTAAATAAGTCAAGAATGACTTAGATAAGTTGTATGATATATGTACTATAGTCCAACTTCCACTTGCAGATGTCTAACAAGGTCATAAGTGACTAAGTTGAATTTTGTTAGTTGTTAAAATACATGATTGCTGGCACAAATTAAAAATGTTTGGATTTATTACATATTGTTCGATCATTTATTCAAGATAAAATCTTAAACTCTAAATCAAAACCTAAAATAGAAAATATACGAGACATTTGATTGAATATGTGAAGTGCATTTGACATATCTCTTATTTAAAATACATAATCATATTTTTTTTTATAATTATAGAAAATACTTATAAATAATAAACATATATACAAAAGGCAGTAGGTATAACGAGTGTTACGCCTGCACACAAATATTTCCACTTGGGCTAATAGAGGAAGTGCACTTAATGGGTTCCTTATTTGCCTCTCCATCAAAGATTGATTGAAATCGACTACACTCAAGGATACTTGCTACTATATAGATAATACCTAAGCAACCATTATGCATACCTTGAATATCGGTGTTTATACCCGGAGCACATACATTCGTACCTGCATCAAATACTGACATACTCGGGCGCATATTTTACGTACTTATAATAATGGTGTCATATGCTTCAGTAACGAGTATATATGCCCGGAGAATTCCTATTTGAGAAATCAATCATTTTGGGTATCGTATATTCTTGTTAGTGGTAACCGAGGATAAATTCAATACGATAATATTCTCATCTATTCCTAAAGAATTTTAAAATACAAAGAGTAAACGTTTACAAGAATTTAATGGAGAAACACCATCATACATATACAATAAATATTCAATATCTACTTATGGATGGTAAACGAAGTCATAAAGAATTTCAGTAAAATGTTTTCTATTACTCCTTCCGTCCCATATCTATATATCCATTTGTTTTTTGCACGGAGTTTTAAAAATATTAGTATTATATTATGATAAAGTATAAATAAAGGTAAAAAGACTAAATTACCCCTATTAGTATTGTATGATATAAAAGTAATGACATTTGTGTAATATATTGTAAATTGGAAGGATATTTGTAATGTTAGGTAGATGGTACAATTACTAAAAAATGAAATAGATATTTTGTTATGTGACGGACCAGAATGGAAAAATGGATAGATTGTTAAG